CTACATTAATATACATACTATTTTTCTTTATGCATTTTTTCTTTTCTACGCAAATTTAAAATAACACGTTTTTTGTTTTACCTTGTTGCACGTAGAATGGAAACTCAAATAACGTTCTAGGAGCAACTAAACTAAGTTTCAAGTTAAATTTGCCTAATATAAGATAATAATAATTGTGTTAACGATATTATATTTGTAACAATACCTCGCATAGTCCGGCTATCATCAGTCCTGGTTCACTATAGTCCGGTTTAAACTAAATTTTAATGGATAAAATATAAATTCTAAAAAAATATTTTTTTACATACATGATTTTTCCTTAAGTCTTTTTTTGTGCGAAATAAACCAGATTTTAATAAATATAAAATATTTGACAATAAATTGTAAATAATTTTAAACTTATTGCGTCATACTAATACTTATTATTGATACTTGAAGCAAATATATTTAGGATTTTTTATATATAATTACAATATATTGATTGAAAACATTTAGAAAGTAATACATTAAAAGTTACTACAAAGTTCCAATTTTTTATTTGGCGATTCAAAGTGAAATGAGGTATATCAAGAACAGAGTTCATGGGAATGGTATTTCCCTATGGAATTTAATGATTCGATGCCAAATTTCTTTGTAATTCTTTAACGATGTAACTTTGGAACTAACTGAAATCGAAATGACGTAATTCGGGACTTTGCCCAAATCATAAAAGATTGAGTGAAATTTGCAATTTAAAGTAGAATTTAATAAATAGAGTAGCACATTGTGCGACTTATATTAGTGCGCATTTACTATAGTATGGTATGAAAATTTCAAAACAAACTAAATTTGAATTGAGTTTTAAATAGGGTTTTTCTTCGAGAACTTTAAAGTTCTCGATTAGTCCGGTTTCAAACAGTAAGGGATATTGGCGGAACCGATTACCAGCACTATGTGAGGTATTATTGTACTTACTTTATAATACTACATTTTCCATTATATTTTTTTTTACTTTTATTTGTATTTATAATTCAATTAAAAGAAATTATCATGGGAATTATCCCATTATTATTCCTATTTTTATCTATAATCATTAGAAAATCATTAATAAGTATATTTAATTAATAATTGTAACAATAAATATATGTTTTACCTACGTTAATAGTTATTTGTATCAATAGTTATTGTTCGACATAATGACGAAGCTTTTAAAATTGAAATCAGTAAAAGAGAATATTTGATTTAGAACATACATTTCAATACTTACTATATTATATCCTAGTTATTATCATGCGAGAATAATCTATAATGTTGCAATGTTACATGAATAGTTTTTAGATTATAAGGTTATATACAAATGTATATGGGTATGTCAATGCATGAAGGAATAATGGCTGTAAGCTGATCTTTTTCCACGTATCCAATCAAAAGGAGAAAACATGACAAAAGAAAAATATTGTCAGAGTATGGAATCGAGCCAAATATTGTATAGCTTTCGGCTAGCATATATATATGAAAAATGCATATAAATTATGAAGACTACAACAAACTGAGATTTATTTTATTTTAATGACAAAATTATAAGAATTTTTTTTAATATAATTACAATATTTATTTCAAAATTATGTTTTATTTATAGATTTGTATTATGTGAAAAAACTCTATGATTGTATATGAAAATATTTATTTATGTATATTATATGTATTATACAATATCCATTATCTATGACTTTTGATGTGATGATGATGATGCTTATTTAATCTAGAATTAATTGAAGGATGTGAAAAAAAATCCTACATGTTTCATACTACACAAAAAAATAGCGTTAACAAAGCAATATGCATTTTTTGTCGCCTATTTTCGGTATATTCGTGCACGGATTTGGAAACAAATATTATCTGTACTACTGGCACGGCATTCGAGCAGGGAGGTGAGAATAGTTAAATATTCTGTACACGTAAAATCTGCAGGGGGTGACAACTAAACAGATTGACTTTATTGCAACGGGACGCGCTCCAGCGCACACTCTAAAATTCACGTTTCACGCTCAAGTGTCAATTTCTAACTGTCATTTGGCATAATGTAATCACACCTCTGTCTCTGTGTCATGCCAGTTTCCCTCCTTTCATTCCCTCAATTGGTTAACCGAGTTTGTGCAAAATGACAAATCCAGAAGCATTGAAAGATGTATACAGAAGACGAGGGATATATCTATCCATCTATATGTAGACATAGTTTATTTTCGGTATCCGCGGTGGGCTTTTCTATGTCTCGTTCAGTCGTAGATGGATTAGTTTCCTGGGCCCTTTAGGTATCAGCTGTCACGCGTCTAGATTAATTTGCAAAGTTACTGCAAGGGCTCCGGCCGCTCACTGACCTCTCATTTCTGTAATAGTTCACGTCGGGTTTTCACTTAAATGAATCCATTCAATTCAATCCACGCCAAAAGGGAAAATTGATTACCAAACATCACTGCACCACAAACACAAGCTATCTCCGCATATTATATTCGAGAATATTAATTATTTCTGAATAGAAATATATTATAAATTATACCTTTTTTTTTCAACAAAACCTTACAGAGCTACACTATTTTGCATCTCAAGCTAACATTAATCTTCGCTAAGTTTGCATGTATGTAATTTGGCAAAATTAATCAAAATGATTAATAATTTAAATACATAAATTTATATTTCTCTACTCAACGAGTATGTACTTTTATTCCTTGCAAAAAAATATATAAAACAACAAATAAATTTATTATATCATACAATGGTTATTTGTACTAAAACTTTTACAATATGTAAGTAAATTTAATTTTTGTCTTATAAAAGTCGAATGAGAATTCGATTTTATCGAATGATTAATTTGGACTGGAAATATTCGGGTCAAGAATCAAGTTCTTAGCGGATGTTGACTGAATTTTTGGTTACATCTGGTAAACCTGATATATAGGTTGGAAAGAATCTAGATCGGAGACCCTTAACAGAAATTTTCGTAAATTATCTCATACAAATAAGGCAATTAATATTACTAAAGACTAATTATTATATTATATAAAGATATAGATAAATTGTATAAATATGAAATATATAATTGGATTTAATTTTGGTACAATCGAAAATGAATATGAATTATCTATCTTTCTGCGCGAAACATATAGTTTCTACTTTATATAAATAAAGTATTGAACGAAAACAGAAACTAATATATCTCAGGACCCTTCGAGGAAAAAAAATGGAAGGAAAGAATGACAAACCTAAAATCTCATCTTTATAAGATTCGTAAACTGTACAAATTGAAGTCCCTCTTTTTGCTACTCTATTCATCCTTTTTTCGATTCGCATGAAATTTGTAGAATAGAGTTTTTTGGTAGAAAAGAAGAATTAATGGTTTGAGCAGATAATATTTCATAATAAATTAAGAAATTAACAACATTTATTAATAATTGCATATATTGGTCCATTAATTATCTACACTTTATTAATTATTTTTGGAGAAGAAAACTCATTTAAATTAAATATTAAAAAAAATGATTTCCAGGAAGAGGATCCACTAATTTGTACTTATTAATGCCAAAAATAAGTTACGTATAATCAACATGCAATTATTCGTTATTTCGTTGTTTGTATAAACATATTTTTTATATTTTTGAAAAAGGTTACTAGTTTCACTAAATTATACGCCGACGCCGGAAATAACGTTTTCCGCGCACATGCATACAACGAGTTATGTAACCACGCAAAACGGTCGAAAATTACAGTGCACTTCCTATTAAATAGCAACAACGACAACAACAACAAAATCTAACAAAAAAAAGCGACGGCAGCAGCAGCTAAATTAAATCCTTCAATTGAGATTTTGTACATAATAGTAGAACTTTTCGAAAAATTCCACTGAAACCTTACCGAAAAAGATTCGGATATTTATCCCAAATAATTAATTTACATCAGCAAATGTTTGTGAATGCAGATACATAAACATATATGAACAACGATTAATCTTGGGAACGGACATAATAACAACATTATTGTTGTGTTTTCTCGAGTGTTATTATTGCATTTTACAGCAGCGGCGGACGACCCGATAAAAATGTATTTACATTCAGAGCACATAAAATGAAAATGCAATAAAACCTGTTATTGTTGTTTTTCATTATTTTTATTCCGTCATTTTTACTCACTACTTTATATACAAACGAAAAGCGTACAACGCAATGAATGGCTTACTATTTGCAGTGTCTGACGGGTGTTTACTGACGTGCGAATCCGCACTACTTCATTAGCGATTTGATTTGTCGGGATTAAATTAATTCCGGCTTATGGTGATTCGCGCGGCATTAACAAAATCAACATTGACAATATCGGAAAGCAATCGGCAGAAGGAAAGTGTCAACATTTCAGTTGGTGCTGTTGATGACGCTTCCTGCATTTGGATCAATTTGATTGCGTCGCATATACAAAATAACAATAGTTATGTTTGATTTAAATTTACTTTTTCTATTGTGATCTTCATTGCGGCTCTGGAAATAACTGGACAATGACCTAAAAATAAATACATGATTTTAAATAAATGTGTAAACTTTATAATATTAGACCATTAGACCTTTTTTTGTATCCTTGAATACAAGCACGATTTTTTGAAGTGTTAAGGTTTTATTTCAATTTTCAAGCAAATCTACTACTTTATAACATTGTTGTCAGATTTCCACTTTACTTATTAATATATATTATAAAATATTTAAGGTTACTTAAACTAAAAGCAATGACTTTATCATCGTTGTTAACAAATATATACCATGTTTAAAGACTTACGTCAATAATTTACAATATAAACAATCTTTTAAGTAGTTGATTTAATTTTACTAAATATGCTATTAAAAACATTATTATGTAAATTCTTGTTGCACATATATTTGAAAATAAAATTAGCCTTGAATTATTATAATCGATAACTATATACTTTGTGACATGTAAATATTTATTATAATCATCAAACATTTTGGATTTTTTTGCTGCAGAACATGAAGAAACGATTGGAGCACCAAATGAAGGTAATACATGCACACACTATTCTATATCTTGATTTACATTTTAATATCAGATTTTTTTTATGCAAATAATTTAGGATTAAACTACTTAATAATTACTTACGAAATTATGAATGTAATATATGTTAAATACGAATAGAAATTACATGTTTTTTTATCTTTATAAACTTAATAAGTTGATATTTAAGAAGAATAAAAAAATATTGTTGAATTGCATGAAAACAAGTAAACAACAATGTTATGGCAAGTTGTAATTGTAGAGCTAATATCGAAAAACATAGATTCATCACAAAATTAATACATGTAACATAAACAGTTTAACAAATTTGAATGATGCTGATTCGTTTCCTTGATTATATATAATAGATGTATTATTTCAATAAACATACTAAAGGAAAACTTCGAAACCATTTTTGATAGTTAAAAGTAATAACAACAGGTAATAAAAAAGTATTTTAAATTTTATTAAATAATAAAATATTATATAATATTTTTACGATAGTGATCTTTCCGCTCAATAAGCAACACCTTTTTCCTTTAGTCAATGAACTTTGGTAATTTTCTAGATATCTTTATTCGAGTAAAAAAAGGAAATTGTCCGTGATGGTGAGGTATTTTTATTCATTTCAGCTATTCTTGTTTCATTTTTTGTTGGCACATTCCGAAAATAGACTGGTGTAGCTAGCTAGCTAGCCACCATTATACATTGGAAGCGAGCTCGTACAGACAGTGAGTATGTGTATGTGACAATGGCATATATAAAATTTCCGCTTAGTGGAGCATATAATTTTATCACTTTTTATTATATGTAGCCGTTCTCCCCTCGATATTCTGCCATATCTCTCATAATTTCTATCTCTCATTCCATCTCTTTTTCCCACTTTTACTCCACTCGAGGCACTTCCCTCCCCCGCGTTGATAAACATATATAATAAAAATTTCTACGGTCCTACGAAATGTGAGCACCATAAATGATAAATCACAGTTAATACAGAATTTCATCGCGATTGTTCGCAAATGACGAGTAATAAATATTTAAAGAAATGTTATTAGACACAATCTAGATGACTAAGGGTTCGCATCTCTTTGCACTCGCGCGCGCACATATCCCACGCCAGAGATTACATATCAAAGTCGAGATTCCATTGCAGAAAGCAAGACAATAATATAAAAAGTCTATGTTTGTTCCTGCCTTCCAGACGATATGATCAGAGCAAGAAAGCTTTCTTTAAGTTAAATAAATAATAACTATATTAATAACAAACAAAATTTATATGCTTCTCTCTTTTTTTTTAATAGAGGAAAAGAGAAGATAATATATAAAGTAATGGATTTTTGGTTAGTTAGTTGAAACGGAGATAATATTGGATTTTTCAATATTTTTTTAGAACACGGTTTAACGGTGAAATGACATGGTGTGATATAAAAATGTACGCTTGTATGAACATAGTGTACGTTCTTGCGAATGAGTCACATATGTATTTGAAGATTATGATTTAAACGTGAATTATGTAATATGCAGTCAATTATATTGAATATATGAATTATAAATATTTTGCAAATTGTACAACATCATTTTTTTAAAACAATAATTAGCATCAGGTTAATGAATCATTTTTTTATACCAATTATAACAAATGCGGCGTTGCATTAATGGATAATGTTCGTTGCTGGATTACAGCATAGATATAAGACACAGGCGAGGTTGATTTACAGTCGGTCGCCACGCTGTCTGGCTTAGCTCTTTCATTATTTGCGGCTAAACCGAATTGCATCATATGCGTACATACTCTCTCTCGCACACATACGGGATTCCAACTCTATTCACGAATAATTAATCTAGAATGTTCTGTTACTGAATTCGATTCCGAAAGTTAAATGAAGTCGTTTCAATTGACCAATTCCGTACAAATTTCAATGCAAAATTGATTAAAACTTGATTATTGTTTTCCGTTGCGGGTTTAATGCTCTCCAACACATAGCTGTTAATAATTGCCGCAGGTTAAAGTTGATGCTGATACATATCTGTAATTAATATTATTGGAAATTACTGTTTTATATTTATACCATTATCTGCTCATTAATAATTATTGCAAACTATTTATAAACGTTTACATATTTCATTGAGTCTATTTTTAGATTGACTTTTATACGGCAGAATATTGTATTATCAAAAAACAAAACCTTTTTTCTGAACTTTTCAATTTTTTCATAAAATATTTTAAAATTATCATCTTTAATAGTAATTCTCAAAGTGGGGGTTGCAAAAAAATGATGACACACAGCAGCGGTCCCCAAACCGCGGGGCGCGGACCGGTACTGGTCCGTGGATCAAATGGTACCGGGCAGCACAAATCCCCAGATGGAACCATCTCGTTACAAAGAAACAAGCTCATGGTTCTCATGAATTTGCGTTCTAGTGGAATAAAATGTTCAATCACGTCCTCCCCTCAGTGAGTAGCGGTAAAATTATCAAACGTTGACCGGTCCGCGGTGATAAAAAGGTTGGAGAGCACTGACATACAGGACAGGATGTTTTTCTATACATACCCGAAAGAATGGGAATGGTTGTCCTTTAATTTTTTTAAGTACAAAAAGGGGTCGCGGACCAAATAGTTTGAGAGCCACTAATCAATAAGGTAATAATACCATTGCGAGGTATTGCTATATTTATTGTTGTCTACATCAATTTCGTCATTTTAGAAATATATAATACGGGTAACCCTCGACTTATGAACTAGTTTCTTCCAAAGGGTTGTTCGTAAGTCGGGGGAATTTCAAAATATACTTATCTTACCACACTTTATCATTTTACTTTTATATATATTAAATTCCGCATTACTGACTGCATAAATTTGAAAAAAATTATTAAAATATATTACTTACAAATACTTTTCAATGTAGACATCACAATTATTGAATAAAAAAATATTATATTTTATTAAAGAAATTATCAATTTTAGTTTGAATAGTTATTTTTTTTATCACTATATATCTCCTTGTAACAAGCTAGAGCTTTTAGTAATTAAAATTTAGTTGCTATAAAAACGTAATTAAAGTGAGAATGATCTTAATTTATAGCTTTTTATATTTCTTTTATAAACAAAGATAAAAATAATTCACTTTTTTGAGAGATAACAATAACAAATATATTTTGGCAAAATATTCAAATATTTTCAGTTGATAATAATGCTAAAAAGTTTGCTTGCGAAACTGTGAATACTAATAGAATTTACTCATTACCAATTATTTTGTAACATTTTATGTACATTGTGTGTTTATTCTTTCGTGTTTGGCATGTCGGATTTGTTTTAAATGTAAAATAGGAATTTTCACCCTCGAGCTTCGACTTGAATACCTAATTTGTTGCTTGGAGAGGAGAGATAGAGACATGAAGCCCAAACTTTTGTTAGAAGTATACATCTAGTACACCTCAATAATAGTACTGAAATTAGTTGTGCACTAATATTCTAACGGCGCCGCGACTAAATTTAGCAATTTGCATGCCAAAGATTCTTGAATGAAGATCTAAAGACATGGCGATGGTGTAACCGATATGAAAATAGTATCTAATGTCTGTTATAAATAATATTGATACTGCACATTTCACCTTAGAGATATTAAATTTACAATTCTTATACATTTATGTAAAATCGGAGACATATGAGAAGAGGTAACAATTTAAATTATTTGTAATTATTTAAAGTATTTATATTTCAGTATTATTTTTTCCCAAAAACAAGAAATAACAAGTCTAATATTTATTATTAATATGATTTCATATTTCCCGAAGATAAATATTAAATTTAGCCAATACAAAATGTAAATAAAAGTTATTCAATAAGAGTTATATCATAAGTTAATATAAATAAGTTTTTTTTTATATAACCTAATTACCCTCAGTAGAAGTAAAACTGCATAAAACTAAAGATATATCTGCTTTAAAAATATAAAGACTTATTAGAAACAATTGATGATTGTGATAATTTGTGTCTTAAATAAAATGGTGCATTTAATAAATCTCTATATAGAGATCAATCTATCCTTGTTGAATCGTTTATAAATCAAGATTGATTTTTCGTTCCTGATTAACGGTTTTAAATATTAATTTATTCCGTTCAATGGAGCCATCAATTTAAAGGTCTGTACAGCGTTTTGTAAAATGCATACAATGTATTCAATTAAGCTACATTTTCTGCTGATAGTGCTTTGCCCTCGTACATCGGTTTGGCTCGGTGGTATCTTGCTTACAAATTATTATTTATCCTATGCAACAGCAGCAAAAATGACTTCTTCCTAGATTACATTGAAGTAGTGCAATGTTTGACCATTGCCGGTAATAATTCCACGTCAATGTGTGTTTATCGTTGCATTCGTTCCGCGAATGAGAGAAAAAAAAATTGCGGTTATCGAGATTTTTTTTAATTGTTTCGCTGTTTACAAAATGACATTGTTTGCAGTTAAACGGAATTCCTTCATTGTCAATTGTTTTGATTGAATATTGAAGGTGTTTTATTATTGTTTGTAAAACTTACCTTTCCCCAAAACAATTACTTATTTATCAACAAAGCGAATGTATTTACTGATAATAGAAACAGACGTAATTTATGAATAACTTGAATTATGAAGAAATGAAACATTAATAATTCTAAAAAGTCGCTAGAATATTAACATACATGGTTGGTTACCGATTTATGAAGGAAAGAGGCAAATAAATGTTCTTGGTACAAGTCGAAAACTATGCAGGATCGGAAACACTATTACAACGTAGATTAATTAGATTTCTAGCAAAGTGCCTACGAACCAATTAGGCGAGAGTTCGTATTAGATTTCAGTTATTCAACATAAAGTTGTCGAATTTGTGTGCAGCAGGAAATGTATCTTTATCACTTGACAATTTAATTTGTTGGATATGAATTTTAGATAATTGCTTGGACCACTCCGCAAAAGTATTGACAGTCCAATATAATAATTCGAAAACACTTGAATAATATTAAAAGTAG